GATGTGACTGATTCGCCTGCTCAGGCAATGTCCCAGTACGCAGTATTGGAACGGCGAATTGTTGCGCTTGTTGATTGACCGTGGGTCTGGGAACCATGATTCAAGCAGCTCGCGGCTCACGCGGTTGTCACCTCTTGCGAGGATTTCGGCCTGTGATTAAGGATTCTCGAGAGAATCTAAAACGTCAGGGGAATAAAACTCTTGTCCCAGTGATCGCATCTTTTTCTTCCAAGCGCACATATTTCGCAATTCTATTATGAAGACTTCATATATTGCTCAGGAAATTTTAAAGTGAATGCTAATTGTAGCATTAACTTCACAAACAGCATTAATGAACGAACTGATGTGATACTGTATGAATTAACATTTCACGTTCTTATAAAACCTCATAATTAGAAAGTTTATATCGTTTTCACCATCCCCCAAAGAAGAGGAAGAAGAAGGTACGAAGACATGGACATGGACATGAAGAATGTATCAGAGGCAGCTGCTAGAATCCTGAGACCATTCGGGATCGGTGTGGCTCATAGGCCAGGGTCAACCATCAGACAACAAATCATGCGGCCCAAAGACCCGCTACCGCTGACAAAACAATCCGGTGTAGGCTACAGCATACCATGCCAAGACTGTGATGCAAGGTATGTTGGTGAAACGGGCGACGCCTGGGCACAAGATTGCACGAGCATCAGCGGGCAATCAACCGCAACGATATGCAGTCTATGGCCTATGACCACGCACAGTAGACGAACCACGTCTTCGCCTTTGACAAAACAAGGGTCCCTGCCCGAGCCAATGACAAAATGGCTAGATTGGTGCTGGAAAGTTGGTCTCCGACTGGCACACTCAACAGAGCCATAGACCTCCATCCTGCCTACCAGGCGTTGCGCAGAAGGCTCGAGTAAGTTCGAACAAGGCCAAAAGGAAAGCAAAATAGACTCGAGTGTAGAATAGAACAAGCTTCGGAGGTAAAAAGGGGAGAAGCCGGCCAGGAACCACAGCACCGCCGCGCCCACGAGGTTGAGATCAACTCAGGCGGGCAGGAAC